GAGCAACTTATTGGTCAGAGACTTCGTCATGTACAAGCTCTCCAACTTCATCCAGAGGGCAGCAGCGGTCTCCTGATCAGCGACTTCGATGATAACATCGTCCGACAGGCACAACATGATTGTCGAGTGAGCCTTTTCTTCTAGGGTTTTCCACTCTTCATCATCGTTTGCCTTATTCACCTTTTCAGTCAGCGGCGCCCACAATCCCTGCTGCTTCAGCAACGATCGCATCTTGATCTGCCACAAGCCAAAACTATTTCTCCCGTTGAATTTATCAATCTTCACGTTCAGAGCAGATGACATCTTCGATTGACTCAAGAAACCCTAACAGTGCGGAATTCAGAAAATCCCTAATTGGAAGAACCAAAAGCTCTGATACCAGTTTGTTGTTACGGAATAGGGTATTGAGTAATCAAAGAACAAACAGAAAAACACAACAACAGATTTAACGTGGTTCACCAACGTTGTGTTGGCTAGTCCACGGGGAAGAGGGGGAGCAGTTTTATTTCTGAAAGGAGAGGCAAAACAGAGTACAGCTCATAGGGTTTGTGGTAGCACCCATATAAATAGTGCTTGACTAAACCCTAACATACTTGGGCCCAAAACTACAGAATTAACAGATAATTAGAAGCCCAATTAACTTCTCCGGATTCTGACTTCTCCAGATTCTGACTTCTCCGGATTCTGACTTCTCCGGATTCTGACTCCTCCGAACTCTGACTTCTCCGAAAGCGGACTTCTCAGAAAACGGACTTCTCCGGATTCGGAGCTGTGATGGGTCAGATTCAAGGCATTTTAACACAAACTGTATTTACATTTTACTTCATCCATCCCATAATAAATTCCAAAATTAACCTGGCATGATTATTTAGAAAGGTGAAATTGTGTGGTTGTTTCATGCAGAGCAGAGAAATAGTATGAACCACACAGTTATTTCCTTAAGAAAAGTGGGACCTTATATTGGGAAGAACAAAAAAAAGAAATATGGAGCCTTTTTAAGGGATAGAGAAACTATTTTATGAGATTAAAAAGATATATTGATGTGTAACATTTTAAAGTTTAGAGCCTATATATCAAAAGGCTAACATGCATAGGAGCCAATCGGGTATGGATATGAGGTTGCATTCAAGATAGAAGGAAAAAGGATAACAAGTAGCTAACTACTATGAATTGGGTAACAAACCAACAGAAAAATATGCCTCATAGAGTAGAATATAGCAACTCATACAAACATGAAAGGAGAATCTAGACATGTGATCCTCTTTGCATACCTCAAATGCAAGCCCAAGAATCTCCTGGGAGAAATACAGACAGTCATTATGGATCAGAACAGCTGCATGATTGATGGAATCCAGTTGCTTTTCAAGCTTTGATAGCCAGACATGAAAGGAAATGAAAAATAAAATGTGTTAACACCCATTTATTTTCATTAAAAGAATCATTGAGTATAAATGCGTTTGAGAAATTCAGATGAAATGGTCGATGAAAATATAAATGACCAAAAACACATACTTCAATAATATATGGAAAAAAAGTGCTATTGAAATTCTAAGAAAATAGGGGGACATGCATGGAATATGAATGGATAAATGCAGTAAATGCAGCACATTCAATGCACAGCTACTGCATGTAGCTCTACTTTTAAACTAACTTTTTCTCCTTTTCACATACTAAACTAGCGAAGACAATGTTAGATGGTAGATGAAAGCACAATATTTCATCTGCAATCCAGATTAAATGGTATGACAAAGATACACTAAAAAGCAATTTCATGATATAAAGAAAGTTATTATGGTCAAAGCTTCTAAGCAATTTTATGATGAACCTAACTCTACTGACCTTAACTGGCAAAATGGCTTCATAGAGAAGAAGCGAATCTCGAGCAGCTTGGTAAAGCTCAACTCCCACTCTTGGAGATAGCATGCAAACGTCCTGCACACACAGCATCCTTTACAACCAAACTTAAAAACAAATACTCTCATATTGCAACAAACAACAACAGCCCAGTTGGATCCCACGGTAGTAGGGTCTGGGAAGGGTGTGTTTACATAGACCTTGACTCCACTCGAAAGTAGAGAGGCTGTTTCCAAGAGACCCCCGGCTCACGCAGCACCACTAATAAAAGATCATAGAGGCACATGGAGTAGAGAGAGCACATAGCATAAAGAGACAAAGAGCAAACTAAAGTTAACGAAGGAAAGCACTGCAAGCTGAGAAGACCAAGCATAGAAAGCATACAACAAAGAATGCAGAAACTACCACCTAGCCAAAAACGCCTACCCAACTACCCTAATCCTAGCTTTCCAAACACTCATGTCTAAGGTCATATCAACAGTAAGGGCAAGAAGTCTTAGGTCATGTCTAATCACCTCCTTCCAATTCTTCTTAGGTCAACCCCTTCCCCTACTCTCATGTTGCCTAATCAATAATAAATCTAAAATTAATAATAAAAATGTGAAGATTAAGTATGCCTAAGTAAAAAGGAAGATTGACTCTAAAGCCCACAAGTGCACAATACAAAAATACAGAAAACATTCCAACAGAGCCATTTTTCAGCAAGGAGAATTAATTAACAGATTCAAGCAAACATCTGTACTTGATTACAGAAACAAAATTCTAATTGCAAATTACTACTCCTGTCAATTTTTTATATGTCACCAACTAATCTTCCTGTTTCCTTTTAAAGAAAGAATTCATTGGTTCACACTCATTCTTTCTACATAAATTTCAACCACACAATTTCACTTTCTTACACTCCATGTAAAATGCAAAGGGGAAGATAAAGAGGGACGGAGGGAGTATAATCTGTTGGTTTTGATTATATAAGTTGTGGTCAAGTCAAGAGCCCTAATGCTCCCAAGTTCCAAATAGCACAACAATGTAAAATACCGATGAATCAGTGAATCATAGTATTAATCTGCTCATAAACAGATACCCTAAACTGATTTATCCTCCTGCATTAACTTCAATCTCACACAACATTAAAAAAACACAGAACAATAGATGAATTAGTCTATCAAAAACATAACTCATTATTTTGTAGATATATCACACAAACTCGAGTCTCTAGTATCCCATCCATTAAAAGATAATTGCATACTACATTGTGCACACTAACCATGAGTATCTGATGCACTGACTTCATTAGTTCATATGCTGCTTCAGACACCATACACCTTTCAGATGAAAAAAGCAAATCAACTACATGATTACAGGTGGTGTTGCCATTGAATTCATCCTTGACTTGAATTCCATTCGCAATGCCCTACAAAGAAGTTTTCCAAGCATGGCTAGTGCCTAAAACTTGATAAACATCACACACAAAAAGAAAGATATTTATTAATTATTACTCACTTCACGAAATTGGAAGTCAGATTGCATAAGCAAATTTCTAGCCTTAGTCAGGATTTCAACTTTCTTTCTTGAAGCAAAATGGACTTCAACATTATCAGCAAAGTTCATCAACCTTTCATCCTTGCTATCAGATGATGATATGAATGCCCAATCTTTCAAAGCTGTCTCAAACTTGTATGTGCATTCTACAACTTTTTGAAAGTCTACAAGTTTGGAAGCATCATCAGGGACAACCTGGAAGAAGAATCCATAATTCTGTCTTTCTATCTTATAATATAAATTATTTGGCATTGAAGTACGATAAGTAAAAATATGCATAAACGATTCTCACTTTGAACCCATTTCACAAGTCTCTGAATGCATTTCCTTTTGTAATTTGTAACTAAGGTCTAGGATACAATATAGTGATATTCAAAATTCACAGTACCAATTCCATACCTCAGTGACTGACCTAACAAAACAAATAGGGTCATAACCACAGAGTGCATTCAATCAAAAGAATAGGGAAGACAGGGGAGAATGCATGACTAGAATGAAACAGAGAATAAGATTGTTCATTTCTTTCAAACCACATAACCTCATGCCATAGTTCTGTACATAAATTCTAGTAGAAGGCACATTACATTCATTTAAATAGGAAAAAGAATGAAGGGCTAGACTCTATGCTGTAGACCATAAGAATGGTAGAAGAAAAAAATAGAAGCATTCGTTTACCAAAAAGCAACGAGTGGTGGTGAACGAAATGGACAAAACGTAATTAGTACTATAGCACAATGTCAGAATTCTTATTTCATTTTGTTGATCTAGTGACAACCATCATATATAAGCACTTACACAAAAAGGGAGTGAAACAATGTTGATTTAAACAAATAACCCCACAAACGTAGGCTTCTCCTCTCTCGTCTCCTCCCCCAACATTAGCACATTCATAACTTAGCTAAACTTTAGAAATTTGAAGGAAGTGAACTGGGAGAAAACAAAGGCCCAAACCCTATAACATCTCCCATTCTGCCTAACCCTATATAAAGCAGTAAGCACATAAACAAACTTGACTGCAAGAATTTAGATATTAAGTTTTGCAACTAAAAAATATTCTTTTCTGGTTATTCTATATATTTAGTCTTTTCACCTCAGCATTAACTGGGCGGGTGAATTTTGCATACTAGAACAAATGAATGCAATATGATCGATCACATATAAAATTTCACGAAAACCATCACTTCTAGGTAGTAGGTACCCATCAACCATCATATGGAGATTTTGTCAAAGTTTTTATAGAGCTGTCTCAAAGACAGAATTTAACTTTCAAGTCAAAATACATCAAGAAATCTAAAGTGTGCAGTTTTGCACTGATATTGGAATAGAAAGAAACATGATCTCATAATTTGGGTATCCAAGAGTATCATGTGGGGTCATTTATACAAACCTTGGACAAAAAGTTTGAAATGATCAACTCTGACATCCTCGGCCATGTCAGTTTGCCAAAATGGCGCATCCAAGTATCATTTTCAAAGAACAGTGATTTGTAGATAAACTTGACAATTTCAACCAGGGCCGAATACATGGCTTCACCTCTTGAACAGTCAGACTGCATGTATGAAGCATGCATCTGTTAGTGCTTCTCAAAAAGTAATCTAATATTCACTAGTCAGTGTTGCATTTATTGCTTCTTGTGGGACTTCAGGGTGTAGATTGTTGTTGTTGATGTAGAAATGATAAGTTGTGGTCCATGCCTAAGCTAAAAATTATGTTCTAGACATCCAATAAGTAAATTGATAGATGCCTCCCAAAGTTACTAATATGGAGTTTTAAGATGTGACGCAAGTTCTTTTAAGACACAAAACAAGTTTCAAAGCACACATTCAGATGGAAAATTAAACTAAACGACTGGAAAATTTTTAAATGAGCTATGTTATTTTTTATTCAGTATAATTCCTACGTCTGCCTTTTCTATTTTTAAATGTTTCATGTTTGCATGGTTAATGAAATAAGTTTATCAACTTAAGACTAAAGTGACACTTAATTAGATAATGAAACTGCGGTCGAGATCCATTTAGGCGTTGGAACTCAAAAAAAATCAAAGGGGTGAGAGTCTATTTGCAAGTGGTCAATCGGTTATCGTCCACTTGAGGGGGAGTGTTAAAGAGTATCCCACATCAGAAAAGTGTGAGGAAAATAATGGGTATATAAGCTCTTGAGTTGAACTAACTAATCGATTGGATTCAATCTTTTAATGTGGTTCAGCCCAAGTGTCTTATAGCCCAGTCCAGTGGTCTCTACCCCATCTTAAATTCTATCACAAGTCAAAGAAAAATTGAGCCAAAAAGGAGGGAAAAGACTTCATCTTCCCCACAAGTCCTTTTCCAGATTCTTTCCATCACTCATTACTGTGCTGACGAGCACCACCATTTTATTTGCCTACAACGGACCATAACAGCAACAAGGCTATAATGGAAAGAGGATTCATCATTTGAATAACTCATTAATGATTTCTTATAATCTTTATTCTTTAGTAACAATTAAGCAGAAAAATTTAAAGGCCCATTATACATTTATGAATGATTAAAAAATACGGCCAAAATCACAACCCTTTGAAAATACTTATGAAGCATAAGCCTCAAAAACAGCCTTGGGCATCTGAGGCAACCACGCCTCAAAATCAGAGGCGTAAGCCTTAAGGCAAAATTTACTTGCGGTTGAGGTGAGCCTCGCAAACGCCTATTTAAAACATGATGCCTATACAGATTTTAGTATATTACTACAGTGTTGCTATGAAGCATATACCTTGTGCTCAGTTGAAGGGACTATCCTCAAAACTGAATCAGCACTACTCCCTGATTTGTTAGGTATGTCTTTCACATAGTAAGTAGTCGACCAATTGACTACTAATGGAGTAACAATAGTCTTAATCAATGAATCTGCTACTTTTGCAAGTCCATAATCCATTATGCAGACAGCCTAGACATAAGCAGCAAAAAAAATGTACCGCGTGTGAAATCAAATGAAATGTATAATATCCAAAGAATTCACTTCTCAATAAAACAAATTTCATTAAGGTCAAATTAGAAAATACTCACTTCCATGGCTTTTAAAACTGTTGAGAGCTCAGTCTCACGGGTGCTTTGATGCTTAAAGTGAACTGTAATGCTTCCATGCTCAAAGCGCACAGCATCTTCTATACATTTTAAAAGAAGCTCTTGTATCTACACATCCAAATGCAACTCCTATAACCAAATAATTACAAAACTCGAATAACAATCATTAATGCATCTCCTTCACCATCATGCTCATTTCTAGTAGTGCTTATTCTTTCATTTACCCGAAACAAGCCAAAACCCAACAGAAACTAGTCACGTATAGCCAAAATGCTCATCGCATAGACGGCATAGTAATGATAGCATGTTTGCTGTTTCCCTATCCCATATAATTTGCAATTTGAAGATTTACTAATTTGAATAACTCAATGTGTATCACGTACCCAAAAGTCCTTAAAGATAAGAGGACTGAAGAATCTCAAATCTACGGCGGCGGAGGCCAATCGGAGACTCCTTACTCTCTCTAATGGCGAGGAAGCGAGGACGACCCAAATCTACGGCGGTGGAGGCCAATCGGAGCAACTCACCCACAAATAAGAGTGTTTCTCTGGAATCGGAGACTACAAAAAACAAAACCTCAGGGATCGCTGAGGATAACCAAGTCAAGAAGACACCGGTTCAAACATCAATCGTTGGATCGGAAAAGGGAAACATGAAGGGTTCAGCTCTAGCCTCTTCATCAGGAATTACACCAGATCCAGTTCCAGCAGATAAGGAGACTTCGAGGAAACCACAGGTAAATTTTGATACTCCAAAATCTTATGCTAAAGCTGTGGGAAACGAAGAGGAAGTAGACTGTAATCTGTGTTTTATAGCTGCAAATAAGGTAAATGGACAAAAAATTGCAAAGCTTACAAAGGAAGACATTGTTGAGTCAAATACGTACTGGGAAACTGCTGTATTGGCTTGTATCCTGGGTGCAAATCCTCCAATTGAGGTAGTGGAGGGTTTTGTAAAAAGGATATGGAAACAATGTGATATTCAGGATGTCACATTCCTTAAACCAGGACAGTTTGTTATCAGGTTCCAAACTGTGGAGGAAAAGGAGGATATTCTCAAGAGAAAGTATTACTATTTTGACAACAAACCGGTTTATGTGAGAAATTGGCAACCAGGTAGCAGTGTGTCACTTGAAGAGCTAAATGATATCCCAATTTGGGTCCAACTTCCAGATTTGGATATCAACTATTGGAGTAACCCAGGTCTGAATAAAATACGCAGCATGATAGGAAATCCTATAAGAGCAGATAGGACTACTATCAAGAAAATAAAGCTAAGTTTTGCAAGGATTCAGATCGGAGTGTGCATGCAACAAAAATTTCCAGAGGAAGTTCAGTTTGAGGATGATCAGGGAAGGATCATAACACAAGAAATAAAGTATGAATGGTATCCAGTGATTTGTTCACACTGCAAAGGGATTGGCCATCCTGAAAAAGCTTGCAGGAAGAAAACATATGTGAAGAAGAGGATGGTATGGAAAAGAAAAGAAGACAGAAAAGAGGTGGAGCAACCAGAAGATAGTAATGAATTAAAACAGAAAGGAGAGGAAGAAAACACAAAAGAAGACACAGAAATAAACATGCCAAAGGAAGACCAAGAGGAAGGTTTCACAGAAGTAAGTAAACGAAAAGGTTGCAGAAGAATACAGCTGGAAGATCAGGAGTATGAAAGATCATATGATGTAGCTATTCATAAATCACTGATGGAAGTCCCTTACATGGGAGACTATCCCTTCCTCACATGATCAGTTGCTGGAATATAAGAGGACTTAATAGTCCTAATAAACAAATGGAACTTCAGAGTTTCATTAGGTTGAATAAAATCAATGTTATGGGAGTGCTTGAGACCAAAATAAGGCAAAGTAACTTTGTCAGTATTAAGGAAAGAGTTCTAAATAGTTGGGATTCTTATATCAATAATGAGTACCATCCGCTAGGGAGAATATGGGTAGTATGGAACCCTGCTAAGGTTGAGGTGCATATTCTCAAAGCAACTGATCAAGCGGTGCATTGTTAGGTCACTTAGGTGAAATGTTTAGGAGAGACTGGATTTGCTCTTATCACATTTATTTATGGTCATAATCATGCTGGCAGCAGAAAATAATTGTGGCAGTTTTTGAAAGGAATTCATGGGCAGACTTCAGGGCCTTGGTGTGTTCTAGGGGATTTTAATTCAATTCTTAGTACTAAGGACAGAATAGGGGGTTTACCAGTAAGTCTGGAAGAAACAACAGATTTTAAGGAATGCATAACTTACTGTGAACTAGAAGAGATTCCTTTTGAGGGAGCCTACTATTCATGGTCAAATAAGCAAGAACAGGAAAGAGGATTTTATCTAAACTGGATTGGGCATTTGCAAATGCAAGCTGGCTAGTTACCAATAATACAAAAACAAAGGTACTGAAGGAAGGTATATCAGATCACACACCACTGCTCTTAAAACCTATCAACACCAAAACTAAGAAGGGGATTTTCAGATTCTGTGATGTGTGGACTACAAACCCTGAGTTTGATCAAATCATTAAACACTATTGGGGTCAAGATATCCACGGCAGAAGTATGTTTCAGTTAACTCAAAAACTGAAAATGCTTAAACAACCATTAAGGAGGTTACATAAGGAGAATCTCCATCAGATTCATAACCAATGCGAGTTGACTAAGGAAAAACTAGATGGAATTCAGAGAGTACTGAGTAAGGATCCATTAAATCCTGAAATCATAAGAGAAGAAAATAATATTCGAGCAGTGTATCAAAGAATCTTGAAGGCCTATGAAAACACACCATGCACAATTTTAATTAGAAGCTTTATGCAAAATAATCATTGCTATTTATTTATGTATATTTGTGAATTATGATGTTGCTACATTAGAGAGTTCATATGAAGTATAGAGATTACTGATGACTCCACCTCGATCAATCTAGTTCCATTAACTACCATATTGTGCAAATCAACTGCCATTAGAGCATTAAAATCAAACTATTTGTGTTTCCGAAAAAGTTCTCTTAATAACCAAAATAACAACGTAACAGGTTAAAACATTATATTGAAAGCAATACTACCATAGTAAACAAGTTCACTAAATTCAGTATACTATGCAATGATGACTCAAATAACCAGCTTTTCTGATTCCCTGCCGAGTCCTGAGTCCTCAACGAAAAAGAAATCAAAATTTTACCTCTTCAAAGCACTCACTCCATTGTTTCTGCAACAGATTATACACTAAAGGGGGTGGCTTCCCCTCTGTAGGCAGGTCATTCTCGCAGACTTGCAGAGCCTCCTTCAAGTCCTTCATAGCCAAGGCTGCTTTTTCCACACTCCCGGCCTTCAATTCCTCTCTCACAAGCACTATCTTTTCACTAAGCCCCAAAAAAACTCCCACTAGCTCTAGTAAAACCCTCTTCTCCCTCAGCTCTCTCTGCTTCGCAACAATTTCATCAATCACAGCTTTTGTAGTAACTTCTACAGGTCGGTCCGACAGGAGACGGAGCAAGTCGGAGACTTGACCGGAGAGGTCTTCCGATCTCGAAACGACGTCGGAGCACTGCGAGAACAGCGCAGAGAAATCTGAGTTGTGGGAGAGAATGTACTGACGGACTTTAGATTTAATGTCGCCAGAGCGGAGTTGGAGTTGGTCGATGAGAAGGCGGAGATCCGGTGCGGACAGCGGTGCCGAAGCGTCGTCGACGTCCGGCACGGAAAGAAGATCTCGGACGTCGATCGATTTGAAGAGGACGTCCATCGTTATAGCGTCCTCGCCGGAAGCCACCAATACATGAAACGAAGGAAGTCATTGACTCATTTCGGTTTGAACAAGGAGAACAAAAAAAATGTCAAAAGGGAGTTTTAAAAAAAACATTATGCTCTCATTGAGAGTCGAACTCAAGACCTCCCGCTTACTAAACGGAGAACAAAAAAAATGTCAAAAGGGAGTTTTAAAAAAAACATTATGCTCTCATTGAGAGTCGAACTCAAGACCTCCCGCTTACTAAACGGGTGCTCTAACCAACTGAGCTATGAGAGCTTGTTATGCAGGGCCTCCATACATGTTATTAGAACGTCGTCTTTAGGCTGGAGTTCTATTCTAGATGAAAATTAAACTCATTTTATTTATTTATATTATTATAAATATTAAATAATACTTTCTTGAATAATACTCCCTTCATCCCAAAATGACTTACACTTTTAATATTTGTGCTTCCCAATAACTTTTGTGTACTCATATATTTTTACTAGCCGTTAATAAAATAAAGTATTCTTATCGCATCTTTTTTTGTAGATATTTTTATGTAATTTCTAAATATGTAATTAGTACTTTTATTTCTATACCAATTTATAGATAAAATTATTTTTTTAAAAAGGCATATTGCACGTTGTTCCAATAGTGTAAATGAATTTGAGACAAGGGTAGTATTTAAATACTTATTTGGTTTATATGAAAGTTTATCATAAACTTTAGATTCATGCAAAATTTTACCCATATCCTTGTTGAGCATGACCTGCTGATCCAGTGGGAACAATCATGACTCCCAAATTAACAAGTAGTCCTTGGCTTAGGACAGGTTAGGGACAGGTCTTTGGTGATCCACCGATCTCGAAGAATCCACAGCTTTGATAAGAACGGAAATGGGCAAGTGCTAGGTAAATTGTGTGTTGAATCATATGTGTGATATGTATGTTGATCGCATGATGTCACATAATTATTGTGAATTGTGGATTCACTTGATTGTTTACTTTGACATTAGATATTTCTCACTTAGCATCATTGTTGAGCATGTAGTTTTCTTTATTTGATACACGTAGGTAATCAAGGACATGATGAACCTAGAATCGATCCCTGAGAGCAATGAGGAGTAAGATATGTGGTTAACTTGATTGAGGATTTGGAATTAATTACTCTTTCATAATAATTTATTATGTTTTCGGGCATGAGTCTCAAGTTGTGTTTGCTAAATTAGATTAAGATTCCGTACTACTTAGATTTCTACTCCGATGATAGATTTTATTAAAAGAACTATTGGATGTTTAAAATTATTTGAAAATATTGTGTGTTTGGATATCAGATTAGTAGCAACCCGGTTCGCTAACCCATGTATTCAGGTTATGCGGGTTAGGATGTTACATGGCACGTACGTCAGGGTGAGGACCCATGTGCTCAAGAACTCCTAAAGGGATTGAAGTATAAAAGGCCGTGGGCAAGATAAACCCCTCTATGGTAGAAGGCTTTGGGGCTACCATGCATCCAAAAGACTTAGAATATTCAACTGGTCACTAAGATATGCAAGTTAAGAGATAAAAGGAACATAAAGAGTGATGAAAGATACTGGAGGGGGACGACATAAATTTGCTCTCATAGAGAAAGATTGCACTTACATCACTGGAGACTCCAAAGACGATGGAGAGAGAAAGATTGCAAACTGCAAAAATTAAGGGAAAGGAGGGTTCTCATGGAGGGAAAACCATAAAGATCAATGAAGTCGGAGAAAAAAAATCTTTGTTCAAATTCGGAATAAACATAAATTAAAAGATGACATAAAGTTTACTCATCCATCCAAACAAAGAGACATCAACATAAAGAAGCGCACCAACAAAATATAGTTTTTGAGTTAATAGTTTGTGTTCTCTTAGGAAACAGGAGGGAATTTTTCATGGAACAATATTTCCATAGGCCAAGGATTTTGTGCTAAGCCACGTAAGAAATTCACGCGAGAGCCCGTGTGTAATACTAGCTCTAGGGGCTCCTTGTTCACCTACAAGAGGGGTGCCACTTCCAAGAAGAAGGGGACCCTAGTCCCATCTTTTGATCGACTCTCTACATACAACTAGACTTGGCAAAATATGACCCGACCTGTTTTTTACCCGAAACCCGACCTGAAATTAGCAGGTTTTGAACATGAATTTTGTGACCCAAACCCGAAAGGACCCGAACCGAGGACCCGTTAAAATTTTGGGTCGGGTCGGGTCTGACCCAACGGATTAAGCACTCTAAACTTAGGAACTAAGATTTTATATTTTTATTTATTACTCATATACCGAGTATCAAATAGACAAATACAGCCTGAAATACCGTACCCAAACCCGTTAAACCTAATTGCACCCTCTCTCCATCAGCCGACTCTCCATCTCGACTTTTCTCCACCGATCGTTGCCGTCTTCCGTCAATCATCCTCCGTCGTCCGCTGGCGTCGGCTCAATGGTGAGAAGAAACAAGCACAATAGTGGAATTACTAATCCTAATTAATTCATCATCTTCAGTTGGGTCTATAGGTAACTCATGTTTAACTCTCTCTTAAAAGTTAAAAACTTAAAATCTAAAATCAGTTTTTTGACTTTTTTTCTATTTACGAAGTAATGGGAGTATTGTTTAATCTGTGTTTTCCATTTACGTGATATTATTTTTCTCCTAAAGTAACATATAAGCCATTCCTCATTAGCCATATGTACTCGAATTTGTTTCGCACTTTGCGTGCTAAATGCTAATAGTCAAAATAAGATTTTTTTTAAAGTATAATAATATGCAATTTTGCATATGTCTAGAACTCAAGATAAGGTTGTTGCTCTCTCGGTTTGCTTTGATTCTTCCCCAACTTTTGATGTTTTTAATACAATTTATTCATCATTCATATCATTATTTATAAATGGATATGTATATATGGAATTTTATAAAAATATAATAGTTTAAAAGTGTGTTATAAAATGCAAGCATTGAGTATTGAGCATAGTGGATAGTTCAGTGAAAGAAGCTCAATTTTCTTGTGAGGGGATTTGATGTAACACCCGCCTTCCGCGGACCCGGTTCACCCCGCGACCCAACGGACCAGTAGGGTTACATGGGAGGTCCGAGAACCGTCTGTAGCGAAAAACATTAATGTCCATTTATTATGAAAATAGTTGTGTTTAATTAGTGGAATAAATGCTAGGGAGTTAACCCCAAAACGTGTGTGATATAAATGCAGAGTAAAAGCAGAAGTAAATAAATAAGTCCAAAACAAGTAAAACGACAAATGGTGGGGTTCTTGCCCAAATGATTACTTAAATGTATATAAATATTAAAGTTGTCCGTGCGCCGCCCATATTCCCATCATCACTGTCCTCCAGGGTTAGCACTGGTATTGTCATGTCTACCTGCGTGTAGCAAAAAAACAATTACACGCTCAGCAAAAGCTGAGGAGTGAATCTAACAAAAGAACATAAAGTGATAACCCATATGGTTATGCACATATTAATACCTGTACTTAGCGTACGGAAAACTACATGTTTACTAACTGTTTAGTTTGCACCTCTTGGGGTACTATTACATATAACAAAATGATGTGCTACCACATTGAATGTGAAAGTGTGTTGTGGAACATACATGATGATGATATGACTTGATGCATGACCTAAACTATCAGAGACACCCCTGGCTTAGTCTCACTTGACAGGATCACCCCTGCACTCCGGTTATCATACCGAAACGGTAATGAGCCGGGCTCGACGTAAACATCACAAGTGGACTAGCAAAACCGGGTAGTAGCCATAACCTGACTACTATGTACGTACACAAAACCCACCTGATGAAAACTCGTTGGATCCCAAAGGTTCCTGGACGGGCCCACTGTAGTAGGCGCACGAAAGCCTGACCTCCCTACAGTGGTATGCACATGATGATAAACCTAGGACTTGCGTCTAGAATGAACATGATGAATGCTTGCTATATTTACCTTTGGTCAACGCCAAGAATATATCAATTAAATAACATACATAATAAAGATTTACATTTCATGCAAGAATACAAACCGATTCAGGGTCAATGTGGTCAACGAGGCTCGTTCTACAAACTGCCCGGAGTTCTGCCCGAAGAACGGTCGACCGTACCCTACCGGCGGTCGACCGTGTGCTACGGTTGGGGTCTGGGTCACAAACGGTCCACCTAGGTCTTCCGTCGCGGCTGACGGTCGACCGTCACGGTGATGACCGTCGAAACGGCTGAGGGTACGGTCCACCGTCCGAAGCGACGGTCGACCGCCCCGGTGACAGTCTTCTGTCCTTGGCTACGTTTTGATCCGCTTTGAAAGTTTAATGCCTTAATTCTTTTTAGGACGATAATACCAACATTGGTGAATATATTCCTAGTAATTCCTAGGCCAATATATATAAGTTTTACGTAGTGAACGTTTTGATGGCTAACCTACGAACATGCATATATTCTACGTAGGTTGCGTAAGATATTCTTATTAATATAACGACATAGATTATAACTAAATGTTCTAGAATTAGAGGGGACAACTACTCACCTCTAAACGTAGGGGTTGAAACTATGAAGATAACGAATGAATCGAGGAACGATGACTGTGCTTCACACGAACGGCCTAGCTCTTCCTCTCCTCCCTCTCCCTCAACTGTGCACCCACCGGAGCTTCGCCGGAGACCTTCCCTGGGCTGCTGCCTTGGCCGAACAAGAGGAAGAGGAAGATGAATGGTGATGTTGAATGGGAGTTACAAGTGTGGTGGAAAGTGAAGAGGGGAGAGGCTATAATATATTGAATGGAAATTATGGGGAATTAATGGGAAATAATGGAAAATGAATGAGAAATTAAGAGGGAATATGAATGGTGAGATGTGGGGTGACGTGTGAAATGAATTGGGAGTTACCTCCCTAAATCTCATTCCATTGTGTAAATTCTGACCTGAACAGTACGCATTTTCCCCCCGAACTTGCCCGAATTGAAATCCGTTAGTATTTCTAGTATCAGTCAGTCAAGACGAATTTAATGATATGTTCAAATAATTTTTCTAAGGATTTTATTTTCCCAATCCCGGTCCGAGTTTAGTAATTAATTAATTAAATTAATCAATTCTAATAGATCGGGTTGCAGGGCGTTACATTTCATCCCCAAAATTCAAAGTCTATACATTATAAATTTTAGGATTTTCATTTTTTATTTTATCATACACGAACTACCACTCGAATTGAAGAGTCTTCTTAAAGTCAGAAAAGAAAATGGGCTTCACCAATTTGGGACGAGTATAATGTGTTTGATGGAGATCAATTTCCAGATGGTCAAGATAGAGCTCTTTGCAAGCATTGTAAGGGAGGACCAACTTTTGCGAAATCTAAGAATGGTACAACTAATTTTAAACGCCATACAGAAAATTGTCATGCCCGTGTTGCTAATGATCTTGGTCAATTACTATTAAACAAAAATGCTAACTTGGCTAAAAAATTAGACCAAGGCACATACAGAGAGTTGGTTGCACTAAGTATTATAAGACATGGTTATAGCTTTAGTTTTGCAGAACATCAAGGGAATAGGGCTATACATGTGTATTTGAATGAAGAGTGCAAACCTATCTGTAGAAATACAGCTAAGAATTATTATCTGAAGATTCATGAAAGAGAAAGATTGAAACTTAAAAAGGTCTTGAGTGAAATTGATGGTAAAATATGCTTCACTTCAGATATGTGGTCATCAATAGTTGGACAAGGTTATCTTAGCTTGACTGCTCACTTTATTGATGAAAATTGGAAATTGCAAAACAAGATTCTTAGCTTTTGTCATGTGCCACCTCCACACAATGTTGATGCCATTCATGAAAAGATTTTAAGTCTTCTTAAGATTTGGGAAATTCATAAGAAAGTCTTTTCCATGACGCTAGATAATGCGAAGTACAATGACAACATGCAAGGTCTTTTATCACATAGTCTATTTATTCTCATTTGCCTGCTAATGGTGACTATTTTCATGTTCGGTGTGCTGCTCATATAATGAATTTGATTGTTAAAGAGGGTCTTACTGTGATTGATACTTCCATGCGTACACTTAGAGACTGTATAAAATATGTCACTGCTTCTGAGGATCGTGAGTTGAAATTTGAGGGTTGTGCTAATAGTCTTGGCGTGGATACTTCAAGAAGTTTGTGGTTAGATTGTCCTACTAGGTGGAATTCAATTTTTAAGATGCTTGATAGAGCACTCCTGTATCGTTATGTTTTTTCTGGTATGAAAAGGATGGATCGTGATGCCCCCCCCATTCCAAGCGATGAAGAATGGGTAAGAATTGAAAGGATCCATGAACTTTTGAAGCCATTTGATGAAATTACTACACAATTTTCTGGGCGGCACTATCCTACAACAAATATGTATTTATTAAATGTCTGGAGAATTCAATGTTTCTTAAAGAGACATTCTGATGATATAATAGAGACAAATATGTGCATAAGAGAGATGGCAAAGAGGATGAAAGTGAAGTTCGACAAGTATTGGGAATCTTATAGCATGATACTTTTATTTGCAGCAATTTTAGATCCTCGATATAAACTTCAATTTGTAAGATTTTGTTTTACAACCTTAGATCCTACAACTGCAAAAGTGAAGGTGGAAAATGTGAAGGACAAACTTTTTAAATTATTTGGTGAGTATTCAACAGTTGATCCTACTACCGATTTGAATTCAAATTTAAGGAAAACCTCAGCAGACCTAGAGGTATGTTTATAATTTCATTTTACATTTATTTATAATTTAATCATAATACTCCATAAGTCCTATTGTTCAGTCATGATGTTTAAACTTAAGCTTATATATATATATATATATATATATATATATATATATATATATATATATATATATATGGGCTGGTTCCAGTGAGAAGGACTCTTGGTGAAAGAAATGAGAATAAAAAATAGACGTTGATATTGCAAATCTAAAGGCTCAAATTTGATCTAAAACTAGCGACATTCACCACTTAATATGGTAAGTAAAATCAATTTAGGAATGGAATAGGTGCACAGGGGCATTATTGTACACATGAAAAAAATCGTGTGCATTAACTTCCACCTTTTTAGCCATTATGGGAGGAGTTGCCATTTTAATCTTTCTTTTATAACCGTGCATATCTAAGTTATTTTCATATTAATGATTTCTTTTTTTCTATGTTTTTAATTTGTGAACCATTTATCTTTTATAATAATAAATTATAAATAATTTTTTACTATTGAATATTTTATTTTTTTTGCTTTATTTTAATGCATTTTCGTGGAGAAAGAGATTTATTTATTTGCAATATTTTGTTTAAAACAAGTAATATGTTGTCTACAATTTTTTTTTAATTTTTTTATATTAAATCACCTTTTTTTAATTTTCATTTATTTCTTTACCATTTTGTATGAATATATTTATTGTAAATTATGCATGCATTTTTATTAATCCTTGTGAATTAGTGAATAATGATTCGTGAGTAACTTTTTATGTATTAAGAAAGTTTAAGAATGCATTGTACTCTATATTTAGAACAAGTGCAATACGTATTCGAAAAATAATTTGCCTATGTGGGATTCGAACCCACATCCGTAATATATATACCGCTCTACCATTTGAGCTAACAGGCAATAATTTATTTTTTAAGGGGACACTCATCTTGCAGTCAAACCTTTTCTCTGAACACGACACAAACTTGTATTAACACTAAACTCTTGCATCATTCGATGTGTTTCTAACCCATTAAATATAATACAAATTTTAATCTCTTAAAGTTTGCACCATTCGATGTGTTTCTAACCCATTTTCAAATTTAACATAGAAAACTTTAAAAGCATCATCATTTGTAAAAAATTCACTATCCAAAGTATATACATGCACCATATTTGCGTTAGAAGAATGTCAAGATGAGATGCATCGACTTTGATTATGAGAATGTACAATAACAAAATGCATTATCATTTACCTTTTATTATGAGAATGTATTGCCTTCTCGTAAAAATGCATTACTGTAGTTCTAATGGTGCACAATATAAAATAACAAAAAGTAAAAAAAAATGAAATTAAAAGAAATGCAGCAATGTGCACCCATAATGAACAAATTATGCCACAATGTTGTCAATGTGAAAAAATGTCAACTAGGTAATAGAAAAAATAAAAAAAGAGAAAATTAAAGCATCAGTGCACACCCCAAACAAAAGCAGTCAAGCGGTGATCCAACAATTTAACGTATGGGTGTGAGCATGTAGATTTTTATAACGCTGCCTTGATATGTTTCAATATGGAATGTAACCAATTTACTAAGTTCATGAAATGAGAATCTGGCAATAGCTATTGTGATCAATTAAATTGCAGTATGTGAACTATAACGAGCAACACCAATTTAATATAATGCAATATGGGAATATAGTAGTCTGAACCAATAAAATAAAGATTAGTATGTATTAACAGTAATCACAACAATCCCATCTAAAATAGGCAAAAATACAGTAACCTTAGCATAAATTAGACTAACCAACTTAAATGTGCACTAGGAGTAACCTGAAAGTGCAGTTTGCAAAAGCTAAAACTAACATATAAATAATTAAACTCAATCAGAACATACATGTGTAGAGAGAATTTGAGAATTTTAGTTGAAAAAAAATATATAAAAAAATGCAGTAGGCCTACTTTAGTGTACCAAAACATTAAAAAATCATAATAACTAAAACAAAGCATCACGATATTGGCAACACAGTGAACTAACAATGCATTACCTTGAGTATGAATATGCACAGATTTTAAGTATTACGGAGTATAATACATAAAGCACTATGGTTTAACAAGTGTAAAAAATTCATAAGGAAATAAATAGAACTCAAACATTATAAAACATAAAGGAGCAACCAAATGATTCGTTCTACAATTATATATATTATGATTAATTCACAATAAAACTACATTACCTTGTTTGAAAAATCTGATCATCGCCACAATCAGTCAATGAAAATACATATGGAGGTTGTTGTGAGGTATTAAGATATCCCTTGTTTGTATTGAGGTTGTCCTTACCACCAATTTCATGTGTTTAATTCTTTAGGGCATTTTATCAAACACCTTGTGTTCGCCGCTATACCTTCAACTAAAATTGAACAAGCTTCTTCCTTTTCTACAAACTCAAAGTAGAATAACAAAACCACAAAATTATCCACACCTCAAATGGAAACAAACGAAAATAACCGAAATTTAGATCACTGGGATTGTTTTGCCTTCCCTTAAAAGAAATTTTGCACCACCCTAAAAAACTCATATGAATTTGATGATGAATTAATAAGATTTTGATAAGAATTTACCAGCACAAACATCAATTTCTCTTGTATAATTCCACCATAGATGAACAAACAGAATGAAATGAAGAAAAATCAGAAAGAGAAAAGATGATAGAGATGAAGAAGGCAATTAATGGCCTGACCAGAACCAAAACCTATATATATATATATATATATATATATATATATATATATATAATGTTTCAGTTTTTGGTATTCATTTCTCTTTTGAAATTTGTATGTAGGCTTTTTTAGCATTTGATGGAGTGACAATTTCTAGGTTTAAATCCCATTTGGATGTATATTTGGAAGAACTCAAGGTGGATCCTAATGAAAATTTAGATGTTCTTGAATGGTGGAAGGACAATGCTAAAAGACTAGTATCACACTCGTGCGTTGCACGGCTCGTATTTAAATTATAAATTTATATTGATGTCATTATATTGCATAATAAAGGGAATACACCATATAATGAGATATAATGTTTTTTATTATTGTAAAGCATGAATATCATATAAATTACAAAATTTGAAAATCTTCTTTATTAACTATATTAGTGGTACATCTTGTGGAAATATTCTCTAAATCATAAATACAAATCTTCAGGTCATTCTTCTTATAACGTAACAATACACATTTTAACATCTCAGTTAATTTATTCCTCGCGATTTCCTTTTTTTAATTCTTACCAATTTTTACAATTATTTCCTTCTTTCATTACGCTATTATTTTATTCGCAAATATGCAAATAAAAAACAAAACTCTTTAAAAATCTTTATATATAATACTAATTAGTATTATTTTATTATATACAATAATGTACTCTTATTTTATATCCGGTTTTTTGTTTCCCTATTTATAACAATATTATTTTTCTTATTCATATAGTAAGGTAATACTCCATGATCGTATTATATAACAGACTTTCAGATGTAATATTTTAGATTTTTATCGGATGAAGTTATATAAGAAAGAATTTATTTTCTTCTTATTTTCTTCTTAAAACGTAACAATACGTCTTCTATGTTCTAACGGCTCACATAATCTATTTACTCGCAATTTTCTTTTTTAATTTTTACCATTTTTTATAATTATTCCATCCTTTCATTACTCTATTATTTTATTCACAAATATGTAAATAAAAAAAACTCTTTGAAACTCTTTATATATAATACTAATCAATATTTTTTATTTTTTACAATAATGTTGTTTTGTACCCAGTTTTTGTTTCCTTATTTATAACAGTTTTTATATTTAATATCAATCAATATTATTTTTTATATTGTGATCTAGTATTATATATACAAACTTTTAAATGTAATGTATTAGATTTTTATATGATCGTGTTATAAAACTTTTGACACATTATCATTAATATATTTACTTTTTATTACTTTGGTATTAAAACTAAATTCAATTAAAATAAATTTATACAAAAAAATGAACACATATTTCCATAAGTATTAAATTATTTCCATATTTAGATATATAAAAAAATATAATTCAAATATGGAAATAAAAAATAAACCATATAACGCAACATTTTCCTTTGATTTCCTTATTTTTTCTATATAGTAATGTAATATTATATACACGTATTTTTGAATGTACTATATTACGGAGTAGAGTTTTATCAAATATGTAACAAAGCTTTTAACACATTACCATTAATATTTTTTAATATTCCAGTATTCCATATTTAAGTATTTCCATATTTGGGAATTAAAAAAACAAAATAGTATAACGCAAATATGGAATTAAAAAGGAGAACCTTTGCTTTTTTAATTCTTAGGCGTACAATTTTTTTATGTATTTCCTAATTTGATTACTTTATTACTTTTATTCACAAATTTTATTTCCGGTTTTTATATCCTTTGTTACAATAGTTTTTATATTTAATGAGTAATAATTAGTATTATTTTTTATAAATAGTAATGTAATATTATATATACAGACTTTTAAATGTAATATATTACGGAGTAGATTTTTATCTGATCATGTTACAAAATTTTTAACGCATTACCATTAATATTTTTTTATTATTTCAGTATTAAAATTAAATAAAATTATTTTCATATTTAGAATTTTAAAAATAAAACAAAAAAAATAACGCAACCTTTGCTTCTGATTTCCTTTTTTAATTCTTATCATTTTGTATTTATTTCATTCTTTAATAGTACCTATGTAATAATATAGATTGAGATTCTTACCTTTTTTAGATTATCGTATATTAACGATAGATGATGAAATCTTCAAAGATGACTCATAGAAGAGTGCATTTGGGCGGGAAATTGACTGGGCAAAATTTCCCCTGATTTTAAGAATATGATTGATGATTGATGATTACCATTAATATTTTTTAATGTTCCAGTATTCCATATTTAAGTATTTCCATATTTGGGAATTAAAAAAACAAAACAGTATGACGCAAATATGGAATTAAAAAAGGTGAACCTTTGCTTTTTTAATTCTTAGGCGTACAATTTTTTTATGTATTTCCTACTTTGATTACTTTATTACTTTTATTCACAAATTTTATTTCCGGTTTTTATATCCTTTGTTACAATAGTTTTTATATTTAATAATAATTAGTATTATTTTTTATAAATAGTAATGTAATATTATATGTACAGACTTTTAAATCTAATATATTATGGANAGTATGACGCAAATATGGAATTAAAAAAGGTGAACCTTTGCTTTTTTAATTCTTAGGCGTACAATTTTTTTATGTATTTCCTACTTTGATTACTTTATTACTTTTATTCACAAATTTTATTTCCGGTTTTTATATCCTTTGTTACAATAGTTTTTATATTTAATAATAATTAGTATTATTTTTTATAAATAGTAATGTAATATTATATGTACAGACTTTTAAATCTAATATATTATGGATTAGATTTTTATCTGATCATTTTACAAAATTTTTAACGCATTACCATTAATATTTTTTTATTATTTCAGTATTAAAATTAAATAAAATTATTTTCATATTTAGAATTTTAAAAATAAAACAAAAAAAATAACGCAACCTTTGCTTCTGATGTCCTTTTTTTAATTCTTACCATTTTGTATTTATTTCATTCTTTAATAGTACCTATGTAATAATATAGCTTGAGATTCTTACCTTTTTTAGATTGTCATATATTAACGGTAGATGATGAAATCTTCAAATATCGACGACTCATAGAAGAGTGCATTTGGGCGGGAAATTGACTGGGTAAGATTTCCCCTGCTTTTAAGAATAGGATTTCCTGATGTTGCAAAAATGGCAAAAGATATATTAAGCATACCAATCACCACAGTTGCATTTGAATCTGCTTTCAGTTTAGGTGGTAGAATTTTAACAAAGTGGAGAGCATCACTTAAGCCAGAGAATGCAGAAGCTTTGATTACCACTCGTAGTTGGATATTTGGCTATGATGTTGATGAAGGTAATTTAATATATAAGCCTCAATTTATTTTACACTTACAAATTAACTCTTCATATATGTGTTATTGTACTAATATGTAGATGAACGTGACAAACTTGAAGAAGGCATTGAGTTGGATTTCAGGTGTTTTACTCGTGATAAGCATCTAATTGATATGGGGAATGAATTCACTCGAGAATGAACTTCTAATCATTTTGTTTGAACTCTAAATTATTTGGTATTTTGATTAGTGTGCTTGGATGGTTCATTTGGGACATGTTGATGTTTAGAATTTTTTGCTATGTTTACTTTTTTGTTGTTGTTTTGAATAATTTTTTTTCTCTGTTTTGAAAAATGCATTAATGACTTTATCTCTAAATGGAAAATTTGCAATTTTTAAATACGCCTCTTAACCCATTGGGTCAACCCGAACCCGATAGCTCTGGGTCATAACAAGCATCCTTAGACCCGAATCCGAAGTGACCCGAACCTGATGTGACCCAAACCCGATGTGACCGAACACAAACCCGACCTGACCGACCGTTTTGCCAGGTCTACATACAACTCTACTATTCATTTTCCTCTCTATAGAATTTTGAGCTCTATAAATCGCTTTTACGCCCATATATTGTACCAATACCTCTGATGCATAATAAAACATCCACCTTGATATGTTATCATTAAAAAAGACACATTATTTTATCTCAATTTGAGTTTCTATGTAAATATCAAGTGTACACATAAATATTTGATAGATTAAAATCAATCTCAAACTATATGAATGTGATTTAAAGAGGAAGGTATTACTCCCTTTATTTCTAAATTATCATCATCTTTATTATTTCAGAGGTCTAATTGCTTCAGGACCATCTATGATTCAGGAAATAAGCATTAATGCCCTTTCTATTTTCAATACTTATGGATAAAATCTCTCTGGTTTCAAAACGATGCACATACACCCACTCATATCATTTTCCGGATACTTTTTTGGCAAAGAGGGGGGCATTGGTGACTATCATGGGTGGTCCGGAGGTTGTGCAAAGCAGTCAACTACACAGGGCTCCTAAAATTTTAGGGCCCCATATTTTTAAATTCGGCATTAATTTTAAAGCATAAGTATTCTAATAAATAAAATAGGGCCCAAAATGTAAATTTTGGACCAGGCCAATTTTATTTTTTATTTTTCGGGACCGCCCCTGGTGACTATTTTCAAAATCACGCGGGGCACCAGAGCTCTTTTCATGTTTGTATTTATTTTTTAATTTTTTCCTTTATTTTCTCTCTTTGTTTTCTCTATAGATATTTTTGAATTTCTTTAGAAAATATCATAATATTTAAAAAAAATTCCAGATTGTTTGTATTTGAAATAAAGAAGTGAAAAAAAGAAAAACATACAAAAAAGTTTATAAAAAAAGAAAGAAAAATGAAGTTATAAAGTGTACTTAGAAGATGTTTTTTCGACACGTTAAAAAAGTCGTTTTTTAATCAATTGGGTTTTGAAAAACTTTTTTTGGACCAACACCCACCAAATTCAAATATTTTAAAGTAGCCATCTTTTTATTTTTAAAATTAAAAGTAAGAATCTTTTCTGGGCATCACAATTATAAGATTTATTTACGAAGTCTAGAAAAAGAACTTTATTAACGCACTTAATAACTATTTTTTCTTCTTTTTAAGAATATTATTGTATCTTCTTCTT